TCTTGCCAAAGTATCAGATGTAGTTACTGTTTGTTAGAGTGCAGTAGAAGTTTTTTAAAAACACTACACATCCTAAATACTAATTTTGATACTATCAAATTTTAAAATGTAGTAAGTTAACTGAAACACACAAACACATGAAAGGAATTCACCTAACTTACTAGATGTGACATATACTATGGGGTAAATATCTCATTGGCACACATCAGGAAACTAACACATCTTTAAGAAACAAAATCAACAGCCCCCACAATAAGTTGTAGTGTTTAAAAATGAAACAAGCCAATTATACCTAGAAGCCATGAGCTGACAATTCTTTGGAGTCTGTTCAGCCTTCCTTTGATGCTGTTAATTGAACCAGCATGGGTAGCATGTAGCACTGAATGGCAACAAAGATAGGCATGTTAGTTTGCCTTATCTGATAGCTGGTGGGGACTGCCGACCACATCCCTCAGCTCTGTGGGAAAATGGCATGAGATCCCAAGGGTGATCAGGAATCTGTGTGGCAGCAACAGTAGCAATGTGGCACCTGGAGCTTAAAGGAAGCAAGGGTAAGAAAAGCAAAGAAAAAAGAAAAAAAAGCAAAGAAAAGCAAAAGGGTTTAAGCACCTGACTGCACCTCTGCTGATTAGAGGCAACACCCCTTCAGTTGGTTGTGAGATGGACTTAGTGTTTATAGGTATAAAAAGGCAAACGATAATACTAAAAATAAAACAAAAAATGGATAATGTGGCTATAAAAGATGGTGAAAATAATAGGAGTTTCACTCTCTTTTCCAGGGGGACAGTGAGGAAATCATATTCTATGTTACTTCTGAGAGCAAGGAAATTACAAATTTTCTGTTGAGTTCCAGGACAGGTTATAGGGGCTTGACTTAGAGCCGAGTTGTAACTTGTTCTTCCTGTCCATCACCCCATTTGTGCATGAGCAAGTCACAGGCCTCTCCCCAAGTTTCAAATACATCCTCTGAGGAGTCTAAAAGTTTAGAATTTGAGGAGCAGATGCTGGATGCACAGTGAAGAGAGCTGGAACAGGCTAGAGGGCATTCACTGCTCTGAGCAGCGCCCCGGACTTCACCTAATTCTACCTCACTGAGGTTAATTTCACTTTCAGAACAGGCCTCTGCTTTCCCTTTCTCCATCTGAGAATATCTGATGTCCTGCCACATATAGTGCTGCTGAATGATTCCATCAGAAATTGTGTACATTGGCTCTGAACTGGGCTCAGACATATGACCATTAAATTTGGAGAATAGGAGACCCAGTTTCTTGAGAGAAGGACCCATGAAGGAGCGTTTGCTTGATGACTCAGCTTTTGACTTCCCTTGGGCACCACTGGCTCTTGGCATGGTTCTGATGAGAGGTGGCCCATGGCAGGCCTTTTTCTTGCAACCTAAATTGAAAGAGACACTCTTGGATTTGGCCCGAGCCCCACCACTGCCATCATTGGTATCATCCCTCTGAGAGAGTTCAGTGCTGCTAGTGGAAAAGCTTCTCCTTGGGTGTTTTCTATTTCCTAAGAGGTCAAGCACTTCATATCGGAAGCTGGAGATGTCCTGCTTTAATTCCTAGAGAAAGAGAGGAGACATATTATTAAAGAAGCTTAGTCTTTAGTTCAAAGTAGGCACACTGGATACCTTTGGAATGTTCCAGCTTTTGCCTAGTAGCAAATCACAAAGTACACAAACTACCAGAAAAATCTCCCATTATTCAAGCAGAAGAAAAACATTAATAATTCTGTGGGCAGGGCTGGCCATTGGAAAAATCGTGCAACGGGTTAAGTTGATTCAGGACTAGTTAACACTTTAGAATGAAACTAGAGAAAGTGGAATGTCAGGTGATGAGACTGCTTTGGGATAGGGGGTCCTGTTCATTCAAGACCCTATAAAATGTCTTCTCTAACTGACTTCTTAGATACTAGATTGTTCCTTTAAAAGACATCTTAAAAGTTTAAATATTATGTCATCCCCCTGTTTAAAATTTGTTAGTAACTTGTCACTGGCTTTAGGAAAAAGTAGAAATGCCATACCATGGACTACAAGGTTTTTCAAGGCATGGTACATGTCACTCTCTCCAGTTTCATCTCTTCCTACTCTTTTCCCAGGCTCTCTATGGTCCACCCATTTGGACATACTCTCTCTTGCCTCTGGCTGGGCCTTTGCCTGTGTTGTTCTTTCTGTTTACAACACTCTTCTTCCCAACTCCCTTTATTTGGCTCCTCTTTTAAGCCTCAGCTTAAACATCACTTCCTCTGGAAAGCCTGTCCTGATCCTCAATTCCTAGTGTCTCTCCTCTCTGTGCTCCCACAGTGCCCTGTCAGAATATTCAATCATTCATCACCCTATATTATTATTGTTTGTCACCTCACGAGAGTGGGGGCTGGTTAGATCTTGTTTTCTGCTGTACCCCAGCACTTAGCGGAGTGCTTGACACATGGCAGACCCTGGTAGATGAGTTATGTCTATGGATTAGGATAATTACCTTTCTATGTGCCTTAGAAAATACAGCTGTGTTCTAGGATAGGGTTTCTCAACCTCAGCACTATTGACATGATAGGCTGGATAAGTCTTTGTTGTGGGAGGCTGTCCTGTTCATTGTAGGATGTTTAGTAGCAACCTTGCCTCTACGTACTAGATGCCAGTGTGACAACCAAAAATATTTCCAGACGTTGCCAAATGTGAACTGGGGAACAAAATTGCCCCTGGTTTGAGAACCATTGTTTTAGGCTAATGCTAATAGTAGGAGAATTTTAATGTTTAATGGTAGAGTTTCTTAAGACCTTAGATTTAATAATAGAAGTTTTGGTCTTATATCTTTTAAGTAAAGAAGACCTTTAAGTCTCCATGTTGCTCCATAAATTAATACAACTATATTAGAGACATAAATGGTCTCAGGAGTTTTGCAGGGCTTTCCCCTGAAGGAATATGTGAATGTGTTAGTTTGCATATCAAAAGCTGCTTCACCTCAGGAGGGCATCTGAAAGATCAGTGGCGGCTGCTTCCCAAGATGGTGCGGCGATTCTCAGACCTGAGGTTCAGACTTGCTTTGAAAGGTGAAGCAGGTCTGCTAGGAGCCACAGGATGAGAGCTGATCAAAGAATGCCCACCCAACAGACAGACACCTGTGGCTAAAAGCAATTAGCCCGAGGGACAGTTCCTGCTTAAACTCCTGACTACCTGTCTCAATACACAATAACGTGATAAAGAAAATATGGAGCCACTATATCTCTGTTTAATCCTTCTGTTAAGTGATAAATTTACCTTAGAACTTAGAAGTTAGTCTTTGAAATATTTTGTAACCATTTGTTCACGTAGATAGAGTTAGTTAAGGGATCTGAAGAAGCCTTTTGAAAAACTTTTAACCTAAGACGAACTACCTGTTATTATGTAAATCTGTTACCCCTGGCAACTGAACACTGTACCTATAAATGCCCATGTAAAACTTCACTCTTGGCCTTTGTGATTGATGGAGAGATCACAGGTCCCCTGAGTATCCCGCTTTTGTCTATTATCTTTATAAATCTATAAAACTATACCTTCATCTCTGTGTATTCTTTTATTTCCATTATTTTCCATTTTCTATTATTTTCTTATCCTTTGCAACGACCCCTACCTAAGGGGATCTGATTTTTTGCTGGGAGCGTAGCTAACTCCCTGCATCTCCAGGCATCTTCTCTTTGCTATCTTGCCCCTCACTATGCATCCTTGCCACATCATTTAAAGCATTCAATTTCCTCAACAAGAAACACCTAGAATATTAAAAGAATGCATAGGGCAGATTTCTTTTCTTTATAAAACTGATTGTGGTGTGACATTGGTAAAATCTCTCCATCTACTGAATGACAGATAATTCTAAGAGAAAAAGAATTGTAGCTGATTTTGCTGTATTATACAGACAGGTGAAATTTCATTATCGGAAACCTCAAACACTGTGAAGATTAAATGATGCTTAAGAAACATGAAATGAGAAATTAAACAATTTCATGATTACCTTAAAATTTTCTTCTGTTAGCCCCTCATTTGTTTTGGAATTTCTTATCATAGCAGCCACATATCTTTTGACTAAATTTCTGATAACTTCCTGGAATTAAAAAAAAAAAAAGCATTCAGTTTATTTCTCAGGTTCTCAATAAAATAAGAAACGTACATAGGCAATAAAACATGCTTACACCACCTTTGCAATAGAAAATCCTCACAGGATCCAGCCTTTTACTGTAAAAAATAAGTTAAATCCATTGGCTAAACAAATTATTATATCTCTGAATTTGGTGGCAGAGTGGGCCAGTAAAATCAAATTTACTCTAAGTGAAAATTTTCTATCCAAGCAAGTTAAACATGTATTCACATATATAGAATAATGAGAGTGGAATAATACTGGAATGATCATAGTTAATATCCTTTCCCTTTAGGCTGGATTAAACTTTAATGCTCCTGGTATAATAAAATGAGAGTTTTTTCCTAATTTTATAAAGTTGAGAGAGTCTTCCTCAAAGTCACTAAGTCTGCTGATTTCAATGTCCACTAATTACATAGTGAAGATATTTTTCTGAGTCAATATACACGTCTCCTTTACAGGAATGGCCTCTTTTTGCTTAGCCTCTAGGGGAATGGCACACATATGGTCACTATGATTTGCATTAGTGATGATGATGATGAGACTACCACTTATTGCAATCTGTCAAGCACTGTGCCAGGCAGCACACACACATATCACTCAATATTCACCACAACACTGTTAGTTAAGTTTTATTATTATCCCCATTTTACAGATGGGGAAGCTGAGGCTCAGTGAGGCTAACTGTATTGTCCAAGATCACAGAACTAGTAAATGTCAAAATTAGAATTCTACTTCAATCTGATTTCAAGGCTTATGGTAATAATAGCCAATGCTATATTTATTACTTCTATTACTATGTAAACTCGAAGAAGTCACTGAGATGCGCAGAAACCAATTTTTTTTGTGAGGACTATGAAGCAGAAAATGAAGGCAGTGAATCTTGCCTAAGATTCATTATTGTGAAAATAATAAGGGTTGGAGGTGGCAATAGTGAGAGAAGGGTTACCTACCGAATACTGTATTTTCTGTTTCTTTTGTTAATTATGGCCTAAGAGGAACAAAGTTAGGAGAAGTGACTTGTAGAATAAGGATGGATTTCCTTTAAGCCTGTCAGAACATTTTCCTACTTTGGGTTTCTTTTGATCAGAAGGAGAAAGAGTTGTCTCTTATTTGTGATTTGAAAGGATTGCTTTCAAGAGATGTTCCAGATATTTGGATGCTTGGTTGTTTCTAGCTGGTGAGAAGAGTGCCCTAATGTTTATTAGGTTTATTACTTGTTTTTATAATGCTGACGTGTTAACCAATTTCTTTGACTAAAGTCATGTTCTCATTTATCAAGATGTAAGTTCCTGACATTCAGATAAGCTTTTACTTCATTGAGGTTAGTTTCCTTCTGTTATGTATTCCTTACTTATTATATATTCCTATTACCCTATGTACTTTTTCTTCACAGCAGGTTTTGCTTTGTAATCACTTAATTTTAATACAGTTGTCCATTGGGATACATGGGGGATTGGTTCCAGGACCTCCCATGTATACCAAAATTTGTGCATGCTCAAGTCCTACAGTTGCCCTACACAGCCCATGCATGCAAAAAGTTGACCCTCTCTATAGGTGGGTTTTACAGCCTGCGAATACTGTATTTTCCATCTGCTTTTGACTGAAAAAAAAAAATCCACATATAAATGGACCCACGCATTTCAAACCTGTGTTGTTCAAGGGTCAACTGCAGTTTTTCCTTTATCCCTATTACATGATAAACTTCATAAGGGCAAAAAGACCTCATCTTTCTAGTTCATAGCGTTTTCTCCAGTGTCATGTTTTATGTACAACAGGTACTCAGATATTTGTTAACTGACTGACCGACTACATATTCTATTTTACTTACTGTCCAGGAAGGTGGCTTTCTAAGCCAGGGATGTTGCTGATCAAGCTGAGGCAGGGTTAAAGGGCTGTGAACAGGATTTTAAAGCAGGCAATTCCACTCTGAAGAGCTACTTCAACCTTTGATAAATTATAACCTTTCTAAGCCTCCCACCCCAGTCAAGCGGAGTCATGTCCAGATATAGCCAGAGTGGACTTCTACTCCACAGAACCAGCCAAGAACTACTGCGCTTTGTCCCTGCGAGGAAGCTTTACCTGATAATGTTGATTTTGTATCAGGCTGTCAGCATGGCGTTCCTGTAATTGAAAATGGAAAGAGAGGTTACATCAGCAGTCTCCCAGCACCCTACCCACCCACCCATCTGAATATATTTCTAAATATGAAGACTGGAAAATGACACAGGAGCTCCTACATGACAACCCCCCAGAGCATATGTACATTGGAGTTATTTTATGATGTTTAAGATAGGAAGTGTCAGGAAAGAGGGAGGGGAGGAAACAGTTGTGTTTTAAAAGATACACAATTTGTAAAATCCTTACTGTGAAGCTTCTCAAGTTGTGCCTTCTCCGTCTACCGTCAGGGTCTCTTTTGGGGCAGAAGGTGTTGTTGAACCAGTTACCAAGGTATAGAAATGACTTGGGACTGGGGATGATGTTGAAAGGAGGTGGCAAGGTACCACCTTCATCAAAGTAACTCATCCAGAGCTTTGTCCTTGCAAACTTCCACTCAATATCGGCATGGTCCTATGAAAGATAGAAGTTCACGGATTTGGGATGGGAAAGTAGAAAATGCACCCGTATCTCATTCCAAACTTTTTACTTGCTTCTATTGAGGGTAATATATCCATAGCTATGTAAATTAAAATTACGCATACCCTGTGACCCAGTAATCTGACTCTTAGAAGTATATCTTATCGATATACTTGCAAATAGATGTATGCACAAGGCTATCTATAGTAGCACAGCTAGTAATAGCAAACAATTGGCAGCAACCCAAATACCCAACAGGAGACCAGTTAAATGAGATTTTATCTATATACAATATAACTTAAAATATAGTAGATCCATAAAGATTTTATATATAGAATGTATATGTATATGTGTGTATATATATATATATGCATCTGTCTAAGCTTTTTTATTTATTTCTTATTTGTTTATTTGAGACAGAGTCTCACTCTGTTGCGTGGGCTATAGTGCGGTGGCGTCAGCCTAGCTCACAACAACCTCAAACTCCTCGGCTCAAGCGATCCTCCTGCCTCAGCCTCCCTAGCAGCTGGGACTACAGGCACGCACCACCACGCCCAGCTAATTTTTTCTATTTTTAGTAGAGATAGGGTCTTGCTCTTGTTCAGGTTGGTCTGAAACAAACAATCCTCCCATCTCGGCCTCCCAGAGTGCTAGAATTACAGGCGTGAGGCACTATGCCCGGCCTGTCTAAGCTTTCTAATTGAAGAAAACAATATTAATCACAATATATATTGTATACAGTGATCCCATTTATACAATTGGAAAATATGTTACATGCTTACATCAGCATGGTACACACTAAACTGCCAGTAGTAGTTATTTTTAAGGAGTAGGATTGTGATGGGGAGGCTTTCTTTTTTCAAAAAATCAACTTTATTGAGGTATAATGTACACAGAATAAAATTCAACCATTTTATTGAGTTTATTAATGAGTTCTCCATCATAATCAAGACACACACAATGGTGTACATTTTTAGGAGTTTTAAGATGTGTGTGTAGTGATGTAACCACCACCATAATCAGGATACACAATAGTTCCATCATCCTCCAAAATTTTTTTTTTTTTTGATTGAGACAAAGTCTCACTGTGTTGCCCGGGCCAGAGTGCCGTGGCGTCATCCTAGCTCACAGCAACCTCAAACTCCTGGGCTCAAGCGATCCTCCTGCCTCAGCCTCCCGAGTAGTTGGGACTACAGGTATGTGCCACCATGCCCGGCTAATTTTTTCTCTATATTTTTAGTTGTCCGATTAATTTCTGTCTATTTTTAGTAGAGACAGAGTCTCGCTCCTGCTCAGGCTGGTTTCAAACTCCTGAGCTCAAACAATCCGCCCGCCTCGGCCTCCCAGAGTGCTAGGAATTACAGGCGTGAGCCACTGCGCCCGGCTTTTTTTTTTTTTTTTTTTGAGACAGAGTCTCACTCTGTTGCCTGGGCTAGAGTGCCATGGCATCAGCCTAGCTCACAGCAACCTCAAACTCCTGGACTCAAGCGATCCTCCTGCCTCAGCCTCCCGAGTAGCTGGGACTACAGACGTGTGCCACCATACCCGGCTAATTTTTTCTATATATTTTTAGTTGTCTAGCTAATTTCTTTCTATTTTTAGTAGAGACGGGATCTCATTCTTGCTCCGGCTGGTCTCGAACTCCTGAGCTCAAACGATCCACCCGCCTCGGCCTCCCAGAGTGCTAGGATTATAGGCGTGAGCCCACTGTTCCCAGCCCACCCTCCAAAATTTCCATGCGTTGTCCCTTTGTAATCAAACTCTTCCCAAACTCAAACCCCTGACAACCACTGATGTGTTCTCTGGCCCTATAGTTTACCTTTTCCAAAATGTCATACAAATGGAATCACACAGTAGGTAACCTTTTGAGACTGGCTTATTTCACTCAGCATAACAACTTTGAGATTCATCTATGTTTCTGTGTGTATCCATTCAATCTTACTGCTGAGTAGTTTTCCATTTTATGGATGTGCCACCATTTGTTTATTCATTCACCCATTGAAAAACATTTGGATTGTTTCCAGTTTTTAGAAATTATGAGCAAAGCATCTATGAACATTCATGTACAGGTTTTTGTGTGAACATAGGTTTAATTTTTCTAGCTTAAATATCTAGGAGTGGTATTACTGGGTCATGTGGTAAGTGTATGTTTAACTTTATAATAAACTGCCAAACTGTTTTCCAGAGTGGCTATACAGTTTTTCATTTCTACTAGTTGCTCTATATCCTCATCAGTGCTTTTCAGGCTTTTAAAGTTTAGCCATTCTAACAGGTATGTAGTGGGATCTCATTATGGTTTTAATTTGCATTTCCTAAATAGCTAATGATGTTGAGAATTTTTTCATATGTTTACCATCTATCTATCTTCTGTGATGAAGTGTTTTTTCAGATCCTTTACCCATTTTTATTGGGTTAGTTGTTTTCCCACAGGTGCATACCTGAGATTTTTTTTTAATTATGTATATATATTCTAGGTACAAATCCTTTGTCAGTTATGTGACTTTTAAATATTTTCTTCCAGTTTGCATCTTGTCTTTTCATTCTCTTAATGGCATCTTTCCCAGAGCAAACTCTTACTTTTGATAAAGTTACAATTATCAAATTTACTGCATTATCAATTTTTTATAGATTGTGCTTTTTGTGTCATGTGTTTAGCGAACCCAAAGTCATGAAGATATTCTCCTATGTTTTCCTCTATGATTTTTATAATTGTAAAATTTGCATTTAGCTCTATGATCCACTTTGAGTTAATTTTTGTGTAAGGGAAGAGATTTGTGTTGAGGTTGTTATTTTAAAATATGGATGAACAATTGCTCTGACAACATTTGTTGAAAAGGCTCTCATTCTTCCAATGAACTGCTTTGGTACCTTTATCAAATATCAATTGAGCACTCTGGACTACTAGATAACTACATTAAAAAGAATGGAGTTGAACTCCTACATCACACCACATGCAAAACTTAACTCAAAATGGTTCCTAGACTCATATTTAAGAGATAAAAACTATAAAACTCTACAAAGAAAGCTTAGGGGTAAATCTTTATGACCTTGGATAAAACAATAATTTCTTAGATATGACACCAAAAGCCAAGGGACAAAAGAAAAAAGTAGGTAAGTTGGACTTCATCAAAATAAAAAAAAGTTTATATTTCAAAAAATACCGTAAAGAAAATGAAAAGACAGCCCATAGAATGAAAGAAAATAATTGAATATCATATATCTGATAAGGGACTTGTATCAAGATATATAAAGAACAATTACAACTCAACAATAAAAAGACGAGTAAGCCAATTAAAAAATAGGCAAAGCATTTGAATAGACATTTCTCTGAAGAAGATATACAAATAGCCAACAAGTAAATATTCTCAAATATGCAAATATTCTCAACATCTTTAGTCAATAGGGAGACTCAAATCAAAACCACAATGAGATACTACCTTATACCCACTAGGATGACTATAATAATAAAAAAAGACAGAAAATAACAAGTGTTGGTGAGGATATAGAAAAATTGGTCCCCTCATACACTGTTGGTGTGAATATAAAATGGTGCAGCCACTTTGGAAAACAGAATGTCAATTCTGCAAATTGTTAAACACACAGTTACCATATCACTCAGCAGTTCCACTCCTAGGTATATACCCAAGAGAAATGAGTCCATGCAAAAACTTATACACAAATGTTCATATCAGCATTTTTTATTATAGCCAAAGAATGAAAATAACCTAAATGTCCATCAACCAATAAATAAACAAAATGTAGTATATTCATATTATACAATGGAATATTATCCAACATTAAAAAGGAATGAAGTACTGATGCATGCTACAACATAGATGAACCTTAAAAACATTATGCTGAGTGAAAGTAGCCAGTCACAAAAGGCTATATGTATGATTCCATTTCAATAAAATCTGTAGAAACAGAAAGTAGATTAGTGGTTGCCAGAAGCTGGTAGAAGGGAATGGAAGTACTAGTGGATATAAGGTTTCATTTTGATATAAGGTTTTCATTTTGAAATGAGCAATGTTCTGGAATTAGTGCTGGTGTCTGCACATATATGTACACAAAGAGCCATCAACTCTACACATATATGTACCACTGAATTGTACAATTTTAAAGGGTAAATTTTATGGTATGTGAATTATATATCAATAAAACTATTTTTTTAAATGCAAAACAAAAAATCAGTTGAGGATATTTTGGGGGGTCTATGGCTGAATTCTCTATTCTGTTACATTAACCTATATTTCTATTTCTCCCATCATACAACACTGTCTTGATGACTGTGGCTGTATAGTAAGTGTTGAAATTGGATAGAGTGATTCCTCCCACTTTAATTTTCTTTGTCAAGATCATTTTAGCCATCCTAGGGCCTGTGCCTTTTCATATATATTTTAGAAGAAGCTCATCTATGGCCAGGCGCGGTGGCTCACGCCTGTAATCCTAGCACTCTGGGAGGCCGAGGCGGGCGGATTGTTTGAGCTCAGGAGTTCGAAACCAGCCTGAGCAAGAGCGAGACCCCGTCTCTACTAAAAATAGAAAGAAATTAATCAGACAACTAAAAATATATAGAAAAAACTAGCCGGGCATGGTGGCGCATGCCTGTAGTCCCAGCTACTCAGGAGGCTGAGGCAGGAGGATCGCTTGAGCCCATGAGTTTGAGGTTGCTGTGAGCTAGGCTAACGCCCCAGCACTCTAGCCAGGGCAACAGAGTGAGACTCTGTCTCAAAAAAAAAGAAGCTCATCTATGTCTATAAAGAAACTTGTTGAGATTTCGATAGGGATTTTGATAACCTGTAGACCAATTTTGGGAGAATTAATATTTTTATTCTGTTGAGTCTTCCAGTACTCACACACAGTGTGTCATTTCTTTCATCATGTTTTATAGTTTTCAGTGTATTTGTCCTGTACATGTTTTGTTAAGTTCATATACTAAGTATTTCATTTTCTTTGCAGCAATTATCAATGGTACTATCCTTAGTTTCTTCAGG